GTCGACACTGGGATTTGAACTCTGGACCTGCCACTTGGGGGTTGACAACCTGACCACTTCACTAGGTCGCCACACCCTTATAACCATCTTCTATTGCTTTCATATCTACAAACTATTATTTCCTTTTTACAACATATTCACAGTTTTAACTACTCATCTGATAATGTTTGTGACTACATATTAATTATCTTTATTAAAAATGACTATAGTAAAGTTTATGTTTATTTTCTTTTTAAACCAAACCTTTATCTAACTATTTTATTTTACTAGTTTAAGCCATCTGGCATTACCTAAACATTCAACTAAAATTAAATATACTAACATCAGTCTTTTCTATACTAACATCTTTAAACTATCAGTTTTTTCTTATCTCTAATTATCTATCTTAAATAAAGCTTAAACTTTCTGATCTATTAACTGAAAACATATCACCTAATACTACAACTACATCCAACAGCTTACCAAATTTATTACCCTAATCTGATACTAATATAGCACCTTCAGATCATCATAGTCTATTTCTATTTATTCTAATAATTTAATACAAACAAATTTCAAACTACTTAATTTATCAATTTGTACATATAATATACAAGATTATAAGAAAAATTTAAAACAACAAATTTGAAAAAAACTTCTTTTTCCTCAATAATCTTAAACTTATTAGCATTATAGAAACTAAAATCACTGCAAATAACCCTATAATCAAACTTCAAAAATTTAAACACTTTACTTATTTCTGATCTTGTATTAATAATCTAAAAGCTAGTATTGCTATTATGATTTATAAATTCATCAAATATCATATTCACAAAATTCTACTTTTTATAGAATATGCTATTACAGTAGATCTCTTTTTTAAACATAACTTCAAATTTAAAATTATTTTAATCTACTTACTATACAATAATTTTCAACTTAGACTATTACTACAAAATATTATTATATAATAGATTCAACAAGTTATTACTTTAAATATACAACTTATTATTTTGGATAATTTTAATGCATCTAATTATCTTACCCAATCCTCTTCAATTAAATATAAACTATTTTACTTTCTTCAATATAATAACTTATATAACTTAACTAGTTATATACTATTCTTTATATTTATATAGCAAAGCAGCAGATATAATAGTAGCATCAACTATATCTAAGCTAACCAACCTCTTTTCTATTATCTTAACTTCTCTATTTATAAAGATTCTGATACTAGTACTCAAAATAATCACAAAATTTTTATTTCTAACTGGTTTTTTTTTTATGCATACTTAGGAAAACCTTGTCATTTAATCAAAATTTAATGAAAAACTTTTTTATATAAAAATATGAATAATGAACAATAGTAACTCTTTTCAAACCAAGTAACTTCAAATTTAACTAATAATCAAATACTACTTACTATGCAAATTTAAAATTCTTGAAATCTATATAGCATAAAATACAAAATAGTATTATTATTGCAGCTTATAATATATTTCTAACAAAAAATTTATTGTTAAACATTTTTAACATATTTTCTCTACAAAGGCTTTAAAACTATATTACTACTTAAAAAGCTTAGTAATATTATTTAACAAACCAAACATGCACTTTAATATTTAATATTTATTTTACTTTATTATAACCAACTCATTACTCATATTAATACATTCTATAATTTTAACATTTAATCACTATCAGCAAAGCATAGCCTAATACCAAATTGGCTAGTTATAGCCAAAAATAAATAGAAAACATTATATCATACTTATAATATAGAAAATACTAAGAAAATTAAATAACAAATTGATAACAATATTATTAAAAGATATAATAAACTACAATCAAACTCTACTTCTATAATTAATAGTATTCTTAATTAATATAAAAATTCTGTTAAATTTTATAATATTAGAACAAACAATAATTTTATTATTAATATACCTAACATTAAACTTTATATTCAATAACACTTCAATCAATAAACATCACACCAATATATTAACCAACAAATATATAAATCTGACTGGCAAAATGATTATAACTCTAAACTAAACATTAACTCTAAATAGTATGACAATATTTTTTCTAAATTTACTATTAATGAAGTCAATTCAACACTAGCTTAGCTTTTAAACAATAAAATTTGTAGCTTTTTAGGCACTAACTATAAAATGCTCAAACATGCTAACTTATTATTTCTTTAAGCAATTACTATACTATTTAATAAATGTATTTTTACAAACCATATATCTAAATAATAAAAAAAAACAGAATCTTTTTAATCTCCAAAAAACTAATTTTAATAGTAATCTTACCAATATCAAATCTATTAGCCTTTTTAAATGCATCAAAAAACTATATATTAAACTATTTACAAATTACTTAAAACATACTTTCACAATTTAAAATACTTTCATCCTACAACTATATTGCCTGAAAAGGCAATAATACTGCCATCTCTAGTTATTGTTAATATTAAGAGATTTATACATTTTTGACTATAACTTTTGATATACAAAACCAAATTAGATGAAACAACTACCATTGGATTCAGCTTACTGAGATGATTCTAATGAGCACAAGATCATGTGATTCTGATTTTGGGATCATGAGATCAGAATGATTTTGATAAAAGCACTAATTCTAATACATGTGACTTGATTTTGATTGACTCACATTATTGTGTTAGAAATCTTACATTTCTTATCCCTTCATATGTTATGCAGGCAAATTTGCCTGCAAAAATAAGTTTTTGGTTCATAATAAAAAATTTATATTAAATAAACCTCTGCAAAAGTTATGTATGTGATTTTTCTAGTTTTGTATTGCACTTAAAATAAAGTGCTAATTGTATAAATGCATCTTTGATAATTATGCACCAATCAAAAATCGCAATTGTTTGATTATAAAAAGCAAAGATCTATTGCTATCAACGATGTTAATATGTAACAAAGCTTTTTTTTTTTTTTTTTTGCACCCTTATTAACCAAAGATTAAAGGAATATTTCTATATTCAAAAAATTTTTTTAAACTTGTCTCAAATCTTTAATTACTAAGTTATAAATAATAGAAATTTTATTGTAATAGTAATAATAATTGTTTATTCTGGTCAATTCAAGTTTTTACGGATTTATTTTTTTATTATTTACCTTATTGAATAGTTTAATTGTTACCTTATTAATAATTTAATTGTTTGATTGAAAGGTCTTAAATGAATTACTAAAAAAAAAAAAAGGCATAAGATAATTTTTTTTTAAAAAAAAAAGTCGTAAAAACATTTTTTTTTTTAAAAAAAAAAACTTTTAATTTTTTTTCTTAAAAAAATTGTATTTCACTTATTAGTTGTATCAAATGCAATCTTTAAGTTTTTTTTTTATTATTAATCAATATTTAATTTAATACTTGTTTTAATTTTTTTTGATTTTTCAGATTTCAATACAAGAAAATACTAAGGATCTATCTGACAAATTATCTGATAAATATGTTGTTTCATTTTTATCAAGAAATCTTGCAGCTGATGAATCTTTGGAAGATTTTAATGAAGTTGAGGATTCTGTGAATATTGATGATATATGTACAGAGTTAGAACAAACAGTAATTAGTGAAAGAAGTAGGGAAAAAAGTACTAGAGGAAATGATCAGAATAAAGGTAAAAAAAATAGTTCAAGTTCTGGGAAAAAAGCTGCAATTTATGTGCAATTACCTAAACCACCTAGTTTTGATGCTTTAGTTCACAATATATCTTATCATAAAGGTTATATAATGTTACCAAAAATTTATTCAGGCTGTGATATTTCTCCATATGGATTAATTTGCCTTTTTTTTCCATGAAGTATTCTTACAACTATCATATCAAATACAAATGAATATGCTCAAATAAAAAATGCTAATGCAATGGGACGAGTATGGACACTACTAACATTAGATGAACTAAAGATTTGGTTAGAAATTGTTATCTATATGGGTGTTATTAAATTACCAAGAGTAACTGATTATTGGACTATTAATTCTAAGTTTTCTAAACATAACATTATACAAAAAATGTCTGTAATTCGTTTTCAACAAATTAAGTGATACTTACATATTTCAAATTCTAATTCTGAAAAATCTTATTGGTACAGTAAAGTTGAACCACTTGCTTCTCATATTAGAGATATTAGTAAGCAACTTTATATACCTAGGTCACAAGTATCAGTTGATGAAATGATGATACGTTTTTCAGGTTGAAGTAGTCATACTTTTCACATAAAAAATAAACCTATTCCAGAAGGATATAAGGTCATGCTTTATGTGAAAAAGGTTATACTTACACATTTACTTTTGAATCACATATTGTAAATAATAGCGAAATTACAATTATTCCTGGTCTTAATAAAACAGGATCACTTGTATTATATATTGTTACTCAACTACCAAAAAGGCATGCATATAATATATATATGGATAACTATTTTATAAGCATTCTACTTTTTTATTATTTAAGAACAAAAGGTTATAGAGCTTGTAATACAGTACGAACAAATTCTTCAATGTTTTCTAAAATATTAAAATTCGAAAAATCTATTTATCTGGATTGGAATATTTTATCTGGTGTTGTTGTAAATAATGTTTTAGTAATGTTATGGGTAGATAATGGTCCGGTCTATATGCTTTCACTATTCATGGTATTAAAGGTAATGAATGAGAAATCTCTACAATACATTAAAAACCATGATCAACTAGTACAAATGCAGCAAATGTACAAAATATTTTTGGTGAAGCATCTCAAAAAGAAATTTTAATTCCAAAAATTATTAATGACTATAATCATTTTATGGGTAGTGTTGATACAGCAGATCAATTTAGATCATATTATAATTGTCAAATTACTTCTTTATGTAACTGGTTGCCACTTATGTTTTGGTTAATTGATATGGCAATTGTAAACTCATATATTATTTATAAACAAAAAGATAATTTAACTTAGATACTCTATTAAATTATCTATTTAAATTAAAAATTAATTACTTTTATTAACAAACTATTAAATTTATAGATGGAATTTTAAATCACGAAAAATTACGCTTGCAAATAGCATGGGATTTTATTGATAATGTATTAAGTGAAAGACAAAAACTTAAAAATAAGCAAAGCTCTAAAACTAAATTATATGAAAACTTGGCTCCAATTATTAACAAAAACTTTAACTTATTACCAACTCGATTTTCTGGTATAAATTATTATCCGAAATGGTGAGAAAATCGTGTTGCATGTGCTTGGTGCTGCTGGAAAGCTAAAATTGGTAAAAATCAAATAAATGAAAAAAATCCACCACAAAGTCAAATTTGGTGCGTTTAATGTAATGTTGCACATTGTTGTAACAAATCTTGTTCTTTATGTTTTAAAGAATATCATACCTATATTGATAAAGAATAAGATATAAAAAACTAAATTTTAAATTTTTATTTTTAAAATTTTTAAAAAATAATATTTTTATTATATTTGATAAATTTTAAATAAAGTACAATAAATTTTTTTATTTTATTATAAATTTAATATTTAAATGTATTTTGAAACTTAAAAACAATTTTTTAAATAAATTTTAAGACTATATATAGTTAAAAAATTAAAATATTAAAATTTTTTATTTTTTATTCTTTTTTTACTATAAATTAACTAATTTTAAATTTATATAATTAATTAAAAATATAAATAAATTTAAAAAATTTTAATTTATAAAAAGTTATTAAATCTAAATTAACAAATTTTATTAATTAGTTAAAATAAAATTACATAATAATAAAAAAATTTAGTAATATTCTAACTTTTTGCAGGCAAATTTGCCTACGAACTCTTAACAAATGAAGTGATAGATCTTATAGATCTTACAGATATTACAGATATTACATTTCAATTAGATCTATCATTTCTAACAGATCTATCATTTCCATTATATCTATTATATCTATTAAATATATTATATCTATTATATCTATTAGTTCTTATTACTATAAATAGTATTTATTAGCAATAAAGTAGTCTTTATTGTAATTATTTATACATGTAAAATATCTATAAAAGCACTACTTTCTGACCTTTCAAGAAAGTTAAGTATCTTCATACATTTCATAGTTAATAAACTGAATACAATATTTATTATCTTCATATACTATCTATTGTTGTCTCTGTCTTAAAATTTCAAATCACTCTGTATTTTATTAAGTCTTATATAGACTTTTGTATAAAACCTGTCAAGTTATAGTCATCATACTATAGTTGAACAACTTTTGTTATTGTTATGATTAAAGGAAAAACTACAGGTTAACATTTTGGTGATAACTGTAAGATAAGTTCTCAATTTATTGTAGATAATTGATTTTAGTTAGCTATAAAGAAATCCTACCAATATTAGTGCATTTGATCTGAAATTTGAAGAGAAATACTTGAAAACCTAATGCCTCTTTTCTACTAAGTATATCTTAGTAAAAAAATTTCTTTGAAACTCATTATTTAATGTCAAAGTAGTGACACCATTTTTGATCTTCAAAGAATTTGCAAGAAACCTCTCTTGGAGAAGTATTCTGACTATTATTATGCAAATTTAAAACATCCATATCTCAGCAACCACTAGACCAATTTTAGCATTTTGACTTTTTTTAGAACCAGAAAGACTCCCTCTACAACTTTCTCTTAAGTGATAAAGCCTGTTATCATAATAATTTCAAGAAATAGTCGCTAATTTCTAAAAATTAGAATTTAGAAATAAAAGTATAAGTGTTTGCATTGTGACAAATAGCTTCTAAATTGATAGTACATGCAATTTAATTTTGAAAGATACTTATTAAAAGTATTCTTATATACTAAAGAACATACTACTCAGTTACCTATCACTAAATTAGATGATTCTTGTTAAATTTGTTACCCTATAATTTCAAATATATCTCCTGATTTTCAAAACTTTTACTTTTGGTATACTAAACAATATTTTGTTTATAACTTCTTTGGCAAAACTATAGAATATTTCAATCAAGTTAAACAACTATATCTGATATAACCTATCTTAACTAAAGAATACTATCTTTAAACTTATTTTTAGTTTTAGATATTCTAGTTCTCCTAGAAACATTATTGATATTATTAAAAGTATAGCATTTTTGGCTGTCTATATAAACTGCTATTAAAGAAACCCCTTTACATTAACAGAAGAAGATTTTATACCTTCTTATCATCTTGATTTTGAAGACTATAGTGATTCTTTTAAAACACTTTTTAACTTATAACAACATATATTTAATTTCTTATCCAACCCTTTACCTAATTAACAAATTCAAAATATTATAACTACTATAGCTAATGTTCTTAACTATCTAAAAGAAAATAAAAAAGATGAAAATGCTGTTCACATTGAATCTTTTCATAAAGATGGAACCCAAGACCCTTTAGCCTAGATTGCTAATTTTGAAATAGTTTAAACTGCTAATAACTGGAGCCTTGCTAAACAGAGAAAAATTATGCCAGCTTTTCTTAGAAGAAATATTAATGAATAGCAACAAGCTTACTACCTTGCAAATGTTGCTGGAGATAATGCAGAAAATGATTGAAATGTAACAAAAGCTGCTTTTATTGCACAATTCTATAATCAACACTAGAAAAACAAATGGATTAGAAACCTAGATGAATTAAATAACTTCCTAATAAATTAGTTGAAACCTACTATAGCTGATACAAAAGAATTGTCCAATAAGTAGAAACTAGTAACAATCTAACCAATACCCAAAAGCTATATCACTTTAATAAGGGACTCTGTTCAGAAACCCTTCCAATTATCCTTATACATAATCCTAACAATTAGCTGATGCTTTAGGATTTGCAAAAAGATTTAAATAAGAAAAAGATTTTGCTGTTCAAAGTGAACCTAGTTTAGCTACTGCTAACAGAAGTTTGGAAAAAGATATTGATAATCTAACTAAACAAATACAACAAATAACTCTTAATTATGTAACTATTGCATCAGCACTTACTGAAACTACATCTAAATTGCAACAAAAATTCCAATCCAGAACCCAATATCAATCTAGAACCCAATTTCAATTTAGAAATCAGTACCAGAGATCTTTGATTATTTGTTATAACTGTGGAGAAAAGGGACACTATGCTCAAGATTGTCTAGCTAAAAAATAACCTAATATGAGTCAATATAAGCAAATGACTCAGGATAATAAAAAGAAAAATATCAACTAAATTGGAATATAGGATGATGATGTTGATGAAATGTACATCACAAGAATATCAAAAAGCAAACCCTATAATACTGACAGAAAACAGGCCAAGTTTTCAAATAAAAACTTTGGATCTTAAGAAGAATTTAAATTTAGAAATAGAACTGTCATGACAGATGAATCTGATACTCAAATGGATGAAATTTCTGTGAAAATTCCTATTGAAGTCCTTATTACAAAAGGAACTAAACCAAAACCAAAATTCAAAACTTATTCCTCTATGATTAAACAAATTGAACTCTATAATGTCTCTACTGATATCTTAAACATGAAGTCCTCTGGCACTATTGGACAATGGTTACAGTTTCCTGCTTAATGTAAAAATCTTACAAAAATTTTGCAAAAGAAAAAGGAACCTATTACAGAAACAAACCAAGCTGAAACTGATTACTCCAAAAAGACAATAGCAATGAGATGTTATATTCAAATTAAAGAAAATCCTGTTGTTGCTATTCTTGATTCAAGAGGAGCTGTAAGCATAATCACAGCCAAGCTCATAAGAAAATTAGGACTCCAAATCCAAATCCTTCTAAAACTATTGTGGTTACTGCTAATAGAAAGCCTTAGGAATTATTCTTGATATAAAGATTACTATTTAAGATATTATTATTCTTATTAATCTCTAAATAATAAAATCTATAGATGAAACTTTCCTTCTTAGAATAGATTAGTTTAACAAGTCAAGAACCAAATTGGACTTTGAAAACAATACTTTAAACATTCAATATTTAGGAAAGAAAACTACTACTAATGCTACTCATACTACCAACTCTTATCCTATCTTAGAAGAAGTAGATGAAGTAGATGAAGATAAAAAAAATTAATAAATTGATGAGATAGATAAAGAAGAAGAAATGGAAACCTACTATTTAGAAGAATAGCCTTCTGTAATTAATGAAATGTATTACAATCCCTAGTCAGAAATAGAAGCTATTTCTGCCTTTTATTTGACTTAACTGTTAGAAGAAAAAATTTATTCTGTTGAGAATCCAAACCTAAATATAAATCTGGAACTTACCAAAGACCACATGCCCAAGCTGAACAACTCTTAATGAAAAATGTTGATATTTTCTTAGAAAATATCTTATTAGATAAACAGTTCAAAGAATTAGAACAAACCAATATTATTTGTCATAAAATTAATACAAATAGCTACAATCTTATAAACAAAGAGCCTATCAGTACCCTTCCAATAAACAAGACTTTCTGCAAAAAGAAATTCAAGCAATGCTAAAAAAAGGAATCATTAGAGAATTCTTTGAACCTTGGTTTTCTCCTGTTGTGTTTGTGCCAAAGAAAGATGGCTGAAAGAGACTTTGTATTGACTATAGAAAACTCAATACTATTACAAAAAAAGATGTATACCTACTACCAACTATTCAGAAAATTTTAAACTCATTCAATGAAGCCTCTTGGTTCACTAGCTTAGATTTAGCCAGTAGATATTAGTAAGTTATTATAAAAGAAGAAGATAAAAAGAAAACTATCTTTATAACAAAATAGGGAACATATAAGTTCAATGTTATGCCTTTTGGACTTACCAATGCACCTGCAACTTTCCAAAGATTAATGGATAAAATACTTTACCTTTTTATTAACAAATTTGTAGTAATATATCTAGATAATATTACTATTTATTCCAAAACCTTCCAAGAACATTTAGATCATGTTCAACAAGTTATAAATGTTCTCAAAGAAGCCAACCTAA